GTTGACATTAATATTATGAATTAATCACTCAGGTGCCAATTGGGAGGGGAGCGGATTTAGGACCAAACGAAAACTTGATGCATGAAGAGACTCTTCCTATTGTCTTCTCTTATATTTGATTTAACCTCCATTGTTTAAAATAAAACATTTAATAACACAGAAGCTTATTACTGCCACTTATTATTACTATTATTATTAAAGGTAAATATGGCTGAGCTGTTGGACCATGTACTGGAGTCTATTATAAAGATTTCTTTTCTCAATATTTCGGGCAGTGTAAATAATGAGAGCTGTTGTTCTAGCCTGTGTGGTAGAAGCTACATCTGTATGCACATAGCTGATGAAGCAGGAGTCTGCAGGGGTGCGGGGGAGACAGTGTGTGGAGGAGTCGAGGACTGTATCCCAGTCAGCAACATATTAGTGGACCTGTCACTTAGTAAACAGTGACTTAAACTCATTTCCATTCTGAGTTAGTGTAGAGTGTAGAGAGAACTCCTGAGTGCATTAGAGTCACTCACAATTTGGGTCCACTTTGTCTCTCAGGCGAGGGTGGGTGTGTTAGGGTGGAGGAAAAAAAAAGAAGGTAACAGAGGGAGCAATTAAGCTGTAATCTGTAATCAAAATGACTCACAAACCCGTCGCCTACTTTCAGATTTTGTCGTAGCAACAGCGAGCGAAAGAAAGTCGTTTTAGCTTGTCTGCTAGACTTTTAATTTTCAAAATGAAGTTCGGGATATTGTACAAATTAGAGTTTAATTCAACCACATCCACTGCTTCTTTGTCACTTACTGTGAGAAAGAACGCAATATTTCCCCTCTGAAGGGAAATCATCTTACACAATTTATGATGATGTCAGATTTATTGTTCTGAACATGTTTATTCCATCATTAAAGAACTGCCTTCATCTGAAAAAGATCCAAGTGGTGCATAGACATTAGAGCCATTATCATGCTGAACATGCTCACAAAACTATCGCCTTTGTTTTCCACATTTTTCTTTTTTAACACACTGCAAGGTCTGACTTGCCTTTTGATGTCGCTGCAAGCCCGGTGGGCATCCTTCCTGCAGGCAATGCGCACTTCACTTCCTTAATAGGGATTGATTTTCAAAGGCGTGTTTTATAGTCACTCACTGGAGGTCGTCAACTCCTGCTGCTTAATACTCCCTATAGACTTGAGCGTCACACAACCTTGACATCTTGCGTTACCCTGATGTCATGCACCTTAACCTGTTTCTGTCACCCTCTGCTCCATACGATGTATGTACAGGCGTTGCAACTGGGAGCTGACAGCTCATGACTTAAACAAATAGAAGTACTCTAGAGGGGGGCAGGCCTGTAATTGTTTCACAGTCTGCATACTGTATTCCCTTGTTTCATGTTCTGCTACATCTATGTTGACAGACATCTTTATTTACCTCGCATTGTGTGTGTGTGTGTGTGTGTGTGTGTGTGTGTGTGTGTGTGTGTGTGTGTGGGTGCGAGTGCATGCCGAAGCCAAAGAGAGGCTGAATAAGAGCAGTGAGAGATTCTGGTTGTTTTTGGTGCATTAGAACGAGATAAAACACGACCCTGTGGCCCCCGACAACACCATCCCTGCACGAGTAAACATCCAGATGACAGACTTTTAATAGAACAAAGTGCTCCCATCTTACATCGCATAACATGAAATGTCAGCCCCACTGATTGCCTCTCTGACAGCCATTCTTCTACACCTGTTCCTTCAATGGACTTGGCGTTTAAATCCAGCATGTTGGCTGGCACTGTCTCTGTAACTCGTTTCACTGAGTTACAAACTAGACAGGAGATTTGTTTAGTGCATAGCTGCTTGATATGGCTGTCGAAATTGGTGGGATTTTCTGAGAGGGAGTCTTCTTCTAGCACATATTTTCTGTTCTTTGGCATAGTCAGTCATGTGTTCACTCAAGCCAAAATGATCAACAACTCCTAAAAAGCAGAAAGTTCAAGGCCTGAAATAAGAACTATGGCAGCTGAACACCAAAAAGAAGAATTATGAGATGACATGGAGACAAACTGATCCCATTTAATTGTACAAAGACATTGATTAATGGCGACTAAAATGATCTTATTTTATGTATTACCATCCTTTGCGCTTTTATGGATGATTTGAGGTCCTCAGTAACAGCCCTCTGCCTTAAAAAAAAAAAAAATAACAGGGAAAAATGACACCATCAGATCTATTTTCAGTTACTCAGCTCCATTTAGGTGATTTAGATTGCATACATGAGAATGCCCATCTTCCCGGCTGCAGTGGAAACCTTCATCAAATTAGAATTGAAGTGATTATCCCGGGCAGAGCAAAAGAACAAAATCGATAGTTCTTTGTTCGGGGCTAAAATGAAGAATGGGCATTCAGCAGGGATCTCTCTCTCTCTCTTGCTCCTTTGCTCTTGCTCTCTCTCTCTCTCTCTCTCTCACACAGAGGAGCACAAACACAAAAACACACACGTCTGTAAATCGCATATTCGGTTCCAACATCCTTGACCATATCAGCATTAGGTTTGCGTGTTGTAGTCTCAAACCTTCTGTCTTAGTTTTTCCCTCTTCTCTTTGGAAAAAAAAAAAAAAAAAAAATCAAAGCTCAAAGGAGAGGCACTTCCTTAGATAATTGCAATTAGTAGTTTTGGCTGGAGTGTTGCAGCATTGGCCCTGGCCCAGCTCTGTGTGTTTGGATAGGATGGAGTGGGCTTGCTGGGCATGTTTCCAACCTCCAGAACGCCCTCTGCCCCTTTGCCTCACATGGGCCCACTGAAGCAGTCAGAAAGCCGCTGGGCCTGAGCAGAACTAGAGAAAAGAAACTTTGTACAGGAATACAGACAGAGACAGGAGATTCTTTCTTACGGTCACGTAGTGCAATTGTACAGTAATTGGAGAAAGAGATAAAATAACAAAAAGTGCCGCACCTTTGTCCTATTCCTTGAGAGCCTTGTATCTCAAGGAGACACAGGAAATAACACATCAAAGCTTTGTTATTTGTGGAAAGTTTCAGCGGTAAAAGTGCCCACAAACCAAGAACAGAAACACCATGCCACAAACTTTCTCAAAAACAGGTCCTTTATCTGTGTAATGTTGATGTGTTCATTCAGGATTAATGGGTAAAATCAAGAGTTTTAGAAAGCCAATGTAATGGAAAGTGCTGCTTTATTGTACAATGATCAGAAAAACCAAAGCAATGCTTCCTCCAGCTTTAACCCGCTAGAGAAAAAGGAGAATCAAATTGAAACGCTATAATGGCTTAAATTGGAGCCATTTTCTTTACTACGAGTGTTTTGCAGACGCTTGGCAGATTTAACTTCAAATTCACTTTGCAAGCACAAGTAGGAGATTGCAAACATGCCACCTCTTAATATAGGTTCTGCAGAATTCTCTGCATGCTTTATTGTTATATAAGACAGTAAGTGAGTGTGTGGAGCTGAAATTATGCTTCACATAAAGGACTGCAATCCATCAACGTGCTCATTGCTGTCATGAGTAAAGAGACAGAGCTCTAAGCAAGAGTCCTCAAACACAAATTTGATTTACCTCAATTTAACTCAAACAGTGACATGTGAGCACTAGAAGTGCTAATGCAGGCTGGCACCTTTTGCTGCCAACAGGCATGTGTCTGTTTAGCTCAGTTTCAAAGCCGGTGCTCATGCTGAAAACTGATTTACTTAAGGATGGTATCGGATTATACAGGGTCTGAAGTTATGAAAATTAGCTGTGAAGTGCAGTGATACTGTGGAGGAATATGACGACTTCATGTGGGAATACAGCAGACTCCATGTGTTTCTGTCAGAGAGGAATTGTGACTTATTTTTGTACGGCTTTATTGTTCTTCGCCTGTCACATTTTATTTCAAAGTTCACCTGAATGAAACAATCAAATTTGATGGATTAAAAAAAATAGCTTTTAATTAATACATCTTGAGGAAATGAATGTATGTCTGTGCCAAATTAAGTCTAAATTAGAATTTAAAAAAATGACAGGATATACCTAAACTCTTCAATAAAGAAGTCAAAACGAAAACATTTGTATCACGACACAGTACAATGCTGGAAAGGCATCCATAAATCTCAGTAAGGGTTGTTTCACACATAAATACCATGTGGCAGCTTAATTTTACAATAAAGCAGCTCTTTCCACCACCGACACCTCTGATGTTTGAGGCATGCTAGTCATGCATCACAGGCATGCTGGAAATGTCAACCTAATGAGTCAGGCTGAAGGCATACATATTGTGTGAACCTGGCCATTTTTGATCAGATGGATCCAATTGCCTCGCACCAATCGAGCGCTGTTTTCCAACCTGTGCTTTGTTCATGTGCTTCATCTGTAGTAATTCCAATGCAATCATTAAGAGATATGTACCATCAGGGATCTGCAGGAAAGTCTCTTTTGGACTGATGCAACATCTGGATCATCTATGGCTCATCTGCATATTTATTTTTCCGCCTACTGCCAATCACAAAAAGAAAACTGGCAGCTGTGTCATCAGTATTGGCACAATCTTTGTACTCTAATTATGTGTTTGAAAATGAAAAGGGACTAGTTGAGCAGAATCTGATCTTTGGTCCATTTTTCCTTTTCGCTTATTTCATAGAAAATTGTTAAAATGATTTTTCCCCTACAAAAATCACAATATGAAACTAATATAATGTGCCGTGTTTGTATCAATGCAAGTCTTTAAAGAACATTCACATGTCCATATGAAATATTGGGAAAACCCTCATCCCTCGTGAATAAATTGCATATTAATACAAATATATAGATTATATGAGTCATTGATTATTTAGGGTAGAACAATCAATTTTCAACTGAAGCTCAAGATTTTTATTTATGAAACTCAATCTAAGGGTTTCTTTAGATTTCAGTGCTGACCCTCTGTAACTTTTCTGTTTGATGTTGGACATGGACATTTTTTTCTGCCCAGGACCTTCAGGTAACAAGCATTATGCTTTATTTTCCAATAATTATGTTATTTTTTTCTTGTTTCATCAAGGTCGCTAACCTGGCTTGCTCCATCTCCAACAATGAAGAGGGTGTGAAGTTGGTTCGAATGGCAGCGACCCAAATCGACAGCTTATGTCCACAGGTAAGAATGTCAAACAACACTTTCATCCCATAATAGAAAGCTCTCTACATAAGCACTACAGACGTTTGGTAATTATAAACTCTCATAGATGTGCTTCAAATCTGTATCTTTAGAGAGTCATGACAACTGAAACAGCTAGGAACAAAAGAGAGAGAATCCCCATTGGCAGAGAGAGAGGCGGAGCGTTGAATGATGATGTGTAGGTGGACCTTGAAGTGGTGTTTCTCAGGATGCGAGCAAAGGAGGAGGTTGAAATCGATCTGTTGTCGCCAAGGTTAACTGTAGGCCTCATTCACAAGGGACCCAACAAGAGACATGGAGCAGGGCAGCTGAGTGTAAGACTCTGGATCAAATGTGCAGGCCCCACCATGCACACCTGCTGAGACCCACTTACACGCAAAACTTGATAACTTTAGGCATGCTCGACATACAAAGATAAAAAAAAAAAATCTTAATAGAGACAGACTTTGTGACTGGGGAAAAAAGAACAAAGACGGGGTGGAACAAAGAGAAATATTTCCATCTGTTCAGGGTAGAGTCCCTTATCTTCACACAGGCAAACACTCCCCTTAAATACAACCTCAGTAAATGCCACGTCCAGATCAGAGTTTCTCTTTTTGAAACTATATCTAAAACAACAGGGACAAAAAAAAAAAAACTAAGTGCTATTTCTGGCTAAAGCTGACCTAGTAATGTGCTTAATACTATTGATGTGTGGAGTCTCAGTGGGCTAATCTAAAAATAAAAGGAATAGGGACGTAATTTGCCTCTCTTTTTTTTTCATCATTAAATCATAAAATCCTCTGAAGTGTTGATCGCCTTTGGCACAGAGCCGAATGTTCTATCTTACATGGAGCATACTCTTGAAGTTAAGATTCTTATTTTGGAAAAGATAACCTTGCTCCCTTTAATCTGTGGAAATGAAAAGAATGTAATACATCCATGGACCCCTTTTGGACAACACACATTTATGAACGGTATTTTTTATTTTGTTGTGTTGCTATTTATATTGGTTAAACACTGCATTACATTGTGTGTCTTATACATCCTAAGCTTTTTAGGGGGGGGGGGGGGGGAATTTCACAGCGAGAAAAAGTCCAGCTTTGTCTTTTAGCATGACATACTTTGTTTTGTGATTACCCGATCTTGTTTAATAATGTTGGCCATTTCCTGTGCCAGGTGATCAACGCCGCTCTCACACTGGCTGCCCGCCCCCAAAGCAAAGTAGCCCAGGACAACATGGACGTTTTCAAGGATCAGTGGGAGAAGCAGGTGCGCATCCTCACCGAGGCTGTGGATGACATCACTTCTGTGGATGACTTCCTTTCTGTGTCAGGTATGAGACCGTACAGCAAGCTTCACTGAATGGCTTATAGAGGACAATCACAAGAGGTTCCTTATTTCTACTCACTCATCCACAAGGTTTCGTTCAGTGACTTGTAGGTCCACCATTGACTTGCAAAATATTTTTTTTGTGGTCAATCCATGTGAGAATAGAATCACAACTTTTATGACGAATAAGAAACCATGACATTAATTTAGAAAAACAACAACAACAACAACAAAAGAGTAAATCAGAGAAAACACAAAGTCAGGGAGCAAGACAAAAGAATCACAAATGGTAATTCCTTTAAGTTGACATGGGGTTTTCTGGGCCTGGTTGGTTGCTAGGTTAGGTTGTGTCCAATGTACAGAGTCTATAGTCCTCCAAGTGGGCGGCCCGGGTTAAAGTCCAACCTGTGGCTACTGGGGGGGGGGGGGGGGGGGTTCTCCATTCTGTATGTTTGCATTTTGATTTAAATATTCAAGCTTATCCATAAAGTCTGTCCACTACCAACATTACATTAATTTAGTTCATTCATCTTGATTGGGAAATCCCAAATTCATCTTGATTTGTTGATGATTAAATGGTTATACAAGTAAAATTGTATTTGTTCTCAACTTAATATATTTTCACTGAGAACATCTCTTTCAAATACAGGGACAAACATGAATCATAACAATCCATGAATTTGAATAAATATAGTACTAATACTGAAAATATGACTATTCCACGTTGAGGGACACTCAATCGTCCTCCAACCTTTCAAAGATGAAGAGACAGCCTTTAGTCTTGCCGGTTCCATTTACAGCTGTAACTTTATTTATTTTTTTGCCTTTCCCAAGAGAACCACATCCTTGAGGATGTCAACAAATGCGTAATTGCTCTGCAAGAGGGAGATGTGGACACTCTTGACCGAACCGCTGGAGCCATCCGTGGCCGAGCCGCCCGTGTGGTCCACATCATTAATGCCGAGATGGAAAACTACGAACCTGGGGTCTACACTGAGCGTGTGCTGGAGTCCATCAAACTGCTGTCCGAGACTGGTAAGTGAAGTGTACACAGAGCTGGTGTGGAAAACAAAAACAAATGTATCGCAGTGTATTTGTATTATTAAGAAAGTATCCTTCAGCATTGTACTGCGCTTGCATCAAACATGTTGCAGTAAGCCTTAAGCTACTTTCTTTAGGAGTATTACAACACACACACACACACACACACACACACACACACACACACACACACACACACACACACACACACAGCGCTTCCATTAGCTTTCCAGTCTGGTCAGTGACCTACAGACACACCTTAATTGCCTGGCTGCCCAGCGTCCCACAGTGTGGATCAGTGTTTTGGCTCTAACACAAACCCTGGACGCCACCTGTTCACTCCTCTGCCACTCTTGCCTCTGATCCATATCTCATCTGGTATTTTTTTCTCGGTCACAGTGTGTCACAGCACATTCCAGGAGAACGGAGTTTATCCTTGTGGCAGACCAAACTCAGGGCCAACACATGTTTAGTACAAACTATATACTTCTCACAGTATATAAGGTGTAAGCAGGAGAAGTGAGAGCTCTCCAACACTCTAAACTTAAAGTGGTGCTTAGTGTGGACTGTTTTATTTGCTTAGTTTACACAAAACGTACTCTTCTGAACATTAAGGTTTTCTTGGTTTTCAAGCCTTTTAGGCCTCAGGAACAACATGTTATCTAACAGCATGTGACACTGAGTGAGTTAAGCCCATTCCTGCTTAATTTTCCTTTCATATTGCATTCTCTGTATGCAACATTTAGGTTTCCTGTGAAGTCCTTTACCCCTAGTAGCACTAAAAGGCCATTTCTGATTTAGTTTTACCCCAACACATAAAAAAGCATGCACATGCAAAAACATTCGCAAATCATGCGATGGAAAAGCCTACAAATAGGGCGGCTGTGGCTCAGTTGGTAGAGTCGGTCGTCTCTCAACTGGAAGGTCAGGGGTTCAATTCCCAGCTTGTGCAGCAACATGTCCGATGTGTCCTTTAGACGTAAAGACGCTTTGAGTAGTCACAAGAAAAGGGCTGTACTAGCTCAAGTCCAGTTACTATTTACCAAATAATGTCATACTTTAATACAAATCTCAGCCATTAATGGCAGCAGTAACGTGCCAACATTAGTATAAATGCACTTAAGAAGACAAGTAAACATAGATATTCATGAAAAAAGTTTGATTTATGATTGTTTAATATAAAACATAAATCAGTTAAGTAATGGTTTCATGATGAAGTATTTGCACTAAACTTATTTGTTTAAGCTAAAGTATGCAGTCAGTGCATTTTACTGAATAAGTGTTCAACAAAATATTGCCTTTTGTTGGTTTACAAGAAAACTCCAGAGGGTAACTCTAAACTCTTTACTTAGGAGATCATCAAATCAAATCACTTTCAGTATTGATTTCATTGGTAATACTTTGTAACATTGAATTATTTCTACTGTAAATCTACAGCCTATCATTTTTTTGCTGTTATAAAATAAAAGTAACAGGGACAGAAATGACACGCTTGCAACAATAACAGCTCTTTATTAACACTACAAGCAGTCAGATGACCAAACCAAAATAGAGTCATGCTACACCTGACTGGAAGCCGAGACTTCACACTGATAACACCAATCCCTGAGTTGGTCTTGGTACTTGAACAAATCTGGAGAGCCAGGAGTCCCTAAGCTGTCTCTCTGGGGTTTTCCAGCACACAGGTATCAGTTCTTTAGGTAAAGGAAGTGTGCGGGAACATTCACAGCCCATTGAAGTTAAGTTGAGTCAAGTATGTAGAATTTTTTTTTTTTTTCAGTAGCCAGAACATACAGCTGCTGTAATCCTCGAGGGAGACGACTTGTGTAAATCAGTCAGCAACTGCACCACTTGAAGCCAAACTTCACAGTGAGCCTTTGATACAGTTTAAGGTTGTGAAGCTTCTACCTAGATTGGTGGCTTTTAGTAGAGTCATTTTTAAAAGCTGAGCAGGAGAGAGAAGGTGGGGGCTTCTGTCAGAGTACAAAATCAGAGAGCAAGGCTGTGGATATTTCCTGGAGTTCGAAAGAACCAGTGCAGACCCAGTGCAAAACAAAACCTTGAAAAAATGTCTGCACAAAATATTTCTTCCTTGATTTCCTAGTCTGGTTTTGCACTGGTTGAGTTACAACTGTGTACAACCTTGTAAAACACTGGTGGTGCAAAGATTGAGCGGTCTGTGCACTTTTTTGTATTAATGCAGGCTTGTTCCAGGTTACATGTTACCGTCCATTGTGTTCAGAAAGTCTAAAGACAAGAGAGAACAAACAGTCTGATGGTGTCTCAATTTTCCTGAGAAACATTTGTTTGCTGTATGAAATAGCTCCTTGAATCAATTAGAGGTAGACAGTAACGCCTTTAAAAAAGTGCACCATTATGAAAAGAGCACAAGCAGAAACATCAGGATAAAAGCAAAGAGGTCATTTATTCTGTCCATCCCTCCCCAGGTTTCTTTCTCTTCCATTAGAGGCCATTTAGCGAGGCACTATATCTATTGTTTCGCTTGTTACTTTCATCTGCGAGGATAATTGGGAGACACAATCAGCTCCCCTCACTGCTAGCTGCTAAGTCAAAAACAGCATTAGGTGAGACACATGTTTACACAGCCATCTGTCTGTTCTGATGCTTCCCTCCAACATAATGGACGACACACAGTCCTACTTATATGGTATCATAAGCACATTCTTATCCTCACTGCATAATTCAACATGCCTAATTGGTGTAATTAATTGATGAGGTACAGCAGCAGTATCTCGTGGACACTTAGGGTCAGTTTTATATGACCATAATCTTGTCACAAATGAAGACTTTATAATAGTGCTGCAGTTTTATTAATCCTCCATGGCGTTTGGAGCTTGTTATAAGAGTCAGCAAGAAGCATCATGTCAGCCCTACTGTGAGCAACAAATCTGAATCTGTCGATGTTGCTGCTTCATGTTGATCGCCCACTGAATTTTCTTTCCAATGTTTTTTTTCTGTTTTGTTTTTTTAAGAATTCACATCATAATATCAAGCTCCAACTGCGTATAATTGAAAGACGCCCAGACAGATTCTTTATAGGAAACAGTAATAACGTAAGAAAAACTGCCTTGGATGCACAGTTTACCTTTCTTTAATAACACAGTTTTACATATTTACATGTGCAGCAGCTGAAAGCAACATTCACCTGACAAGATGAGATCAGTGTACAGAGGACTTTCTTTTTCTATGAGACTCTGTTAAATAACTCCATTCCCTTTCAAACTCCATACATATTCCTACATGTGATTTTCTTTACACAGTAAGGTTTTAAATGAGAAACTCATTCTACAGTACATAAATGAATGGCAAAAGTGAAACATTGCCAACAGCAGTCCTCATGGATTTTTCAACCACCCACACATTAAGGTACCCTACAGTGCTTTTACAGCTAACCTTGGAACCTTTTAAAACTACACCATTGGCTACATTAACAAGGAAAATGCACCTCCTTGCCCTCATCTTTAATATAGAATTTCACTTGCAAGATTGTTACAGTTTAAACAGAATGAACAAAATGAAAACAGATGTGCCACGCGGTGCCACAAGTGCAGCCAATCCAGAAGCCATGAACATGCTGCCTGTGTCCAATCTTGACTTCCTTTTCATAAAAGTTATACTAAAAGGAATATGCTGTCTCTACAGGCAAAACCAGGAAGTGATTTTCAAAATTCTTACAAATGTATTAGCTGAACCAAATTTAACCCCGGTGCCACCTTCATGAAATCACTTCTACAGCTTCAGGCTTTTCTTTGAATTAAGACTGATTATTTGTATGAGTGATTTTTTTTTGTTTGTATTTGATGTTTTATATTTAAAAAAAAGAAAAATCATGCCAATTGTGAAAACCCATTTCAATTGGAACAGCTTTCCACTGAATACTGGGCAGAAGTTCACTTATTTCACTGACTGTCAATGCCAGATTTTGCAGGTCCAAAGAAAAAGAACATTGGTGGCACAAAAGCACAAGAAAGTATCCAATGTGAGTTGACTTCTGTCGTTAGTGCAGAATATTGGAGCCCCAAACTCGAGAGTTAGTTAAGTGATTCATTTATCTGCTCCTCCTCCTCCTCCCAAAAAGAAAACCAGAGCCAGTCATTAAGATCTTCCTAACAATACCATCCTTTGGACAAAGTCAGGCGTGTAAACCTTACCAGGCATTAAACATAGAGTTACCACATTGTCACATTTAACTAGTAATTTGTGACATTTACCCCTCTTGGCTTGGTTGTGTTTTTTTTTTCCTGCCCTTTTAATTGCTTCTCTTTTTTGCAACATTATGCTGACCGATGTAGTCCATTTAAGACGGTGATGAGAATTGAGTTGGTAGCAAAGGTGTGTTCTTCATAAACAGACTGTATCATTGTAGGGTCAAAAGCACAAACAAAAAAATCACAGCCCACCTTGGTTCATTGCCAGAAACCTTGGCGTCATCATAGAAGCTGACCTTAAGTATCACAACAACCATGTCATTAATGTAAGCAGACCGTCTGTCCTTCACCTCAAAAACGTCTCAAAAATGAGGGCCGTCCTGTCACACTCGGACGCTGAAAAACTACTTCATGCATTCATTACAAGCACATTAGACTATTGCAGTACTCTCTTTTCTGGACTCCCCCAAAAGGTCCATTAGATGACTGCAGAATTTGCAGAATGCCGCTGCACTTTTTTTTTAACCAGGACCAAGAAAACCCTACACATCACACCTTTTCGTAAATCCCTGCACTGGCTTCCAGTGCACACCAGAATTGATTTTAAAATCCCTTTAACTGTTTATAAAGCACTGCATGGCCCTGCCCCAAATTACTTAAAAGAATGGCTCATACCATACAAGCACACAAGAAGCCTTAGATCTTCAATCAGTGGTCTCCTTGTTGGCCCGCGAATAAGATTGAAGGCAGGCGCAGCAGCTTTTATCGTCTACGCTCCAAAAAGGCGTAATGCTCCACCAAACAGAGATGCCCCAACATTTAACT